TTTTCGCGAATTTGAACGATCTGAGAATACAGTTTTACTCAGAATTCGACGCTGATTCCGAATATGTATGACTCATTGCGTAATTTTTTGGGCACGAAACCTTACATTCTGCCACTTGTCCTTTGATAAACAGTTATTTATTTTAGTGATTTCATTTTCTAATATTTGATGCTTGGAGTGTAATTGAGTACTAATATCATTCAATGATTTCACGTCATCCTGGATGAACATTAAACCGATTAAGAGCCAATGATTTGATTAGAATATTCCTTTTTAAATTAACAGCAGCCATTGTGATCTTATATTTATACCAATAGTTAGATAGTTACTGAAGTGTATTGTAAAATCCAAAATTGATTTAAATATATGGAACATTGATATTCAAAACTGAATTATATCCAGGAGCTATTCATAACATCTTTTCGAATAATCGAAAAAATCTCTTTTAAGCGTAACAACTCGAATATAGGATATACTTGTCTTAAATTTTAATGTAGTTTTTTAATTTTTAATAATATTTTCAAATATTTGAATCTTTTGGTTTTCTAACTCGATATGTACATTACATAATGTAATTTACTATATTCGATTTACGTCACTTCTGTGATAGATCATAAGATTTGTTTATAGCATTCACGAAACATAACGAAGCAAATATCTAGTTAAAGCCATAGTAATGTTGAATTTAGTTTATAATAAATTCATTTTCTTATGTTAATTTCACGCGGATAGTAACTATGATAGGAACTTTATAATTTTGTTTATTTTAATTATCCTTGTTAACTATGTTTTTATTGAGAATAACAATGGCATCTTAGCAACATCTGTCTATCTTAAATCAGCAACCGAAGCGTATCTAGTGCCATTTCAATCGTCCATCCCCGACACATCTTTGCCAATATTATTGAAATAGGGCAATATAGTGCGAACGTAATAAACGATATTTGGAGATAACGAATTGAATTCAGTTGTAGATCTAATTCGAAGCTTACCTGATGATGGACCCCTAAGCAAGGTCCGAACCGATCGTCGTAAGAAGCTTAGATTCTTCTAGTAAACTCACCCACGCACCCTCTGGCAACAATTGTATCTACTCTGCAACATCAAAAAAGAAAGATTAAGACAAAAAATGCAAGGAAAAAAAAGTTTGATAAAGTGTGATGACATTCTCTCGTTTGTTTCGGTTTGAGTAAGGGTGAGGGTGGGGGTTACCACAAAGCTATAGTGCAGCTTTCTCTCTTCTTTTACTACACAGGCTCACACGATATGAGAACATCAACATTATTCAGAACCATAGCACTAAATGTGCTGAATCATTTCGGAAAAAAAACTCATGACTCATTAAATACTCAAAGCACATCTTTAATAAAGGTAAATTCAAATATTCAAAGCTTTTTTCATATTTTTTCTTCCTTGCGTGGCTAAGGAGAAATACCTAAAACAAATCATTTCTATAATATTGTCCAGTAATGCGGTGAAAATGATGATGTTTCTCTAGTATTTTGACAATTACTATATAAGCATAGTTTCAGAAAGCTTATTTAGTTTACATTTTGTAGGATAGAAAATTCCCTATCCATTTGTATATTAGATTCTACGAGTATTTTACAGTTACGTAAGAATGAAAACAATTGATAGAACTTGAGTTTTCCTAAGATACTGTTAGCGATCAGAAAAGGAATTCATGCAGTATTTATGTACATCTTTTATCTTGTTCTCTAGAATTCCGTTATAGAAAATTATACAACTATAATTAATTACAGAGTTGAACTCTTTTTAATTTGTGGAATTCGCTGGATATTTTTTAAGCATAACCACTACTAGGAAGGAGCAATGGATATAAAAATATTCTTCACAGTCAGTTTACAACTATTATAGCGGTGGCATCACTGAATATGCTCGAAATCCTCGAAATATCTGAAATCAAGGTCTCACCTTTCAGGTTTTATTCAAAACAGCGAACTCTCTCATACATCGAAAGATCTCAAATATAAACAAGATGCATTCCTGTGATCAAATATTCGTCGACACTTTACAAAGAATGCAAGAACATTCTTCGTCAGCTAAGCATCATACATGTTACAAACACTCGAATCTGACAATCCTACTGTCACGTTCAAATCACCTTCTCAAAAATCTGTTTTTGATGTGTCTGTCCCAACTCAAACTGACACTTTTATGAGCTCATCAGGTATTTTAGATTGCGATGACATTATTTCGTTAAAATAAGCGTCCTCCATTATATCCCGCATTCGAAACTCTGTCTCACATTTGACAAAAATAATTTGAGATCCCTGATGGTCATCCGTTTCAAGCATGGAGATCTCCATCATATTTTCAGATAAAAAATAGTATAATGACTATAGTGTAGCCTTTTCCAGTTTCAGCGAAAATAGAGTGATGAAAAAAATCATTTTTCTTTTTAAGTCTACGTTATAGTATATAAAACCAAACATCTACATATCACTGACAAACTGACACTTTTTCACTCCGATTATACTTTGAAATCAGAAATGCCTATCTTTCAACATATATCGAAGGGTTCAGTTTGATCTTATGTGATTCAGGATGTTCTGAAAGCGATGTTTTAAAGACTGTCTGTCGATGCTTCACTTTTAGTACACTTTGCTGTTATCGTTTATTTATATTTATTGTTAACAAACTTGTAATCAATTTGTCTTTTTCAAAAAGCTAAATTATCAGGTAACTTGTTCTTTTAAAATAAATCTAACATCTTTATTTACAAGTTTAAAAACTAACAAGAACAAAAAAACACAAAACAAAAAAGTTAATCACCAAAAAACCAGATACATAGAAGATCAGCATCATATTCAGTATGAAAAATTTTTTTTTCCATTGAATTTTCATTTAACCAATCTACAATAAAATCTTCATCAAATGCATCCGTTTCAATATGAATATTTAATTTTATTAATTTTTTTAATTCTGTTAATAATCTTGAATATACACGTTTGAATTGTGCAACTGATTCAAAACCAATTTGTAATATTCTTATATTTGAAAATGATGTTAAAAATTGTTCAATACGATCATGTAAAATATAATAATTTGTACTTAATAATAATTGATCAATTGTTATATTTATTAGTGAACATAAACGATTATTTTCTAAAAGATTTATCATTTGTGAATCACCATAAGTAAGTAATGTTAAACATTTTATATTTATTGAACAAAGTAATAAATTTCGAACCAATTCTGTATCTAAATAACCACTAATTGTTAATTGTTTTAAATATGTTAAATTTATCATTTTATTAAAATCATCAATAATATTTAATAAATGACTATTAAATGTTTCATCAATTTGTATTTCTAATGAGTTTACATTTGAATATTGTCGAGTATTAACAAATATCGATGAATTTGTAAGACTAACACATAAATAATTAACATTATCATATACATTTGATGATACAGTAGTTGATGTTTGAAAACCATATAAAAATGTACGTAATTTATTACTATATACAGGTATTGTATAAACAGTTATTTCATCAAATAAATAATCACAAACAATAAACCATTTTCGTTTAATCCAAAATTCTTGTTTAAATCCTTCAATAATATTATTTATACTCATTAAATTATCATCATCATGACTAGCTTTTATATTTAAATCAAATTTAGTTAAATATTGAATTGGTTCAAGAATATTTTGCCATCTAAAACTATTTGTATATTCAATTTCATTTGATGAAAATGATAAATGTTTTAAATAAGGTGGATAATCTTTTAATAACATTTCAACATATTCAAAACCAATTGTTTCAAATTGAAGATTTAAATATGTTAAAGATGATTGTGATGTAAAATATTTCCATTTTTGTTCAATAATATCTTGCATATCATCTGTTTCAATTGTTAATGATATTAATTTTGGTAAACGACGAATAAATTTAATAAAATTATTAAATTTTGGTGTTTTAAATTTTAAATATTTAATACTATTACATGATTCTTCTAATTCATCAATCATTTCTCCTATATATTTTTCATCATGTGTTAAACATCCACTTTTAAAATTAATTGTTAAATATAACAAATATTTTAATGATGGTATTTGTGGAATAATTGTTGATAACATACAAACATTTGGTTGAATTAATGTTAATGAACGAAGATTTTCAAATTGTTTAAGTAAAAATTGACGAAAAAATAATTTAATTTCTCCACCAACCATACCAGTATTCGATAATTTTAAAGAATAAATGTTATAATAAACTCTTGGAATAATTATTTGACAATAGAAATCAAATGTAGATTTTGAAATAGTTGTTAAATCAATATGCATTTGAATTATATTAATTAATGAATTAAATCGTCGATTTAAATTATCAAATGAATAAAATATATCAAATGGATTCATATAACGAAATAATTCTAATAATATTTCGTTGGGAAAATATTCAAATTTTGTAAATTGACGATCTAAATAGAAAAATAAATGAAAAATAATAGATTTTAAAAGAGAGAAAATGAGTGACAAAATGAAGTTTTTTGTAAAATGTTTTCTTTAAATGTTTCTTTCTTCTACAAAATAATAAAAAAAATGTGATTCAACTCTTGATTGATACCATTGATTCGACAATTGTCAACAGAATCTAATCGTCAAATATAAGAAATAAATTAGATAAAACGAGTGAATAGTAAAAAAAATATTTTCTACTCTATCTCAGCCAGTTTAGATCGACGTGAACTCAAAATTTTCACACATACATAGCACATGAACATCAATTCGGAAATCAAATTTTAAACTTTTAGTTTAACTAAAAACTAAGAAAAGACTTTAGATTTCAAATGTTTTTCAACATATAGAATCTAAATTGATGCATTAATCAGACTGTTAGACTTTCGTAGGATATCTCAAATATTTTATCGCAAACTACGTAGGATCAATTCAGAAACTGCTATTTCTATTTAAATAGCAGTCTAGTCCGTCATTTCAAAAGTTCAAAATAGACTATACTCTAGTTCAGGTACTTTACCAGTTGATAAATGTGAAATTATGGTAAATCCAAGGAAAATATCGTGTATCTAACACATTTTTCTTAAAAACTAAAAAATACCTTCTTTTTGCACTTTAATTCCCACAGGATAATATAAAATAGCTAAAAAGTGAAGGTTTTTTAAGTGATTTGAATCAAATTTGAGTTACGAATTTTCCACTTTTACTTCAAAAATAGTTTTAAATAAAATAATTTCATCCACAGTAGATAGATCTTCGATCTTCATTAGATTTTTTTGAAATATTTCATGAAAAAAAAGTACTTAACATGACTGTAAAATTCAGCATGTTCTATAATCAATATTCTAGTTGTTTTTAAGGATCGAACACATGATCTCATATCAGTGCTCGGAGATCCGCTTAAACCATCATAGATGAAGAATCTGATCAATTTCTAATTTTTAGAAAACACTTTGTTTATTTTAAAAATAAATATATTTCTGTTTTAAATCTTAAAAATTTTGAATGAATATTTTCGAAGACTCTTTTATAACTCTATTTTAGAAAAAAAATTTTAAACAAATCTTTTATGAGAAATCGTACTCAGATCTTCTTTATCGATTGACGAATATCGCAGATCTTAATTCTTTTTCGTTCAAAAATTATTCAAAAATTGATGAACAGTATCCATGGTCTTTGTTACTTTATCGTTTATCTAAAAGGATGGGATGAGAAACTTGATGAAAGGAAACGAGAAATAATTAAAGTTCTCAGTCAAAGAATGGACATAATATGTAACTTATCCCCTTACCTTGAATTTTACTAAATGATACTGCCAATAATGTTTTTGCTTGAGCATCTAAATTCAATTTTTATCAGTTGTAGTTTTTAATTAAAGTAGCTTACCTAATGGAGAACGTTTCGTCAGCTGCACCTTTCTTTGTGCAGCAACGAACCGATTTAACGTGTCTATATTCATTAGTAAACACGAAAAATGATCATCTTAAACACATGATATATATACTATACACAATAACTTAGATTTCGAAAAAATTCCATGAGAATCCTAGATGATTAAATTTGAATTTGTAGCATCAGATAGGATACTACACAGAATCTGATTGGATTTTATTGTATAATTGATTTTGATCTGGTAAGAAGATATGTTGTAGAAATACCATCTATATGTACAAAAATTTCGCTATGAAACGAAAAGGTTCATTTGTTACTTTTTTTGTTTTTTCGTTTGATAACAAGATAAATTATCACGGTCAAAATAGAGAGTTTCACAAACAAAAAACGATGTCATTCTCATTCAACAAAGAAAAAAATATGATTAATATTTCTGAAAAATCGCGAACAAAAAGAAAAACAACCAGTGACTGAATTTTAATAAGATTTGACAAGATTTATTGGAAGACTTGTATACAAAACACAGTTGTACGAAAACGCAGTTCTACACGAAAAGTATATTTTTGCGTTTCTTTCTAGTATAAATCAACGAAAACAAATTCGTAAATAAGAGACATAATTTTTGATTTTCGTTTTGAGGTAAATAGTACTACACTCATCTTCTCACCATACATTAGGAGGATATAACAGAAGTTCCAACATATTTATCATTCAGAAAGGCATTGCTTGCTTTTTTAATTTTATTGCATCTGATATCGGTTTTCGTTTTGTTTGAAAACGATTTTGAACTTCTTTTAATTCAATTTCCATAATTTCATCGAGTAATGCTAATCGTTGTTCGATTTTTTCCACTGTCCATTGTTGAATATTCTAAAACAGACAAAAAATGAGTGTATAGCACGCGTTAAATTCTCACTTTTGACAAATGAACATATAAAAAGTAGACCGAAAGATAAAACAGAAAAATTCGATTAATCTTTCACTAAAAAGTAATTTTGTAAGACTTCTTCATTTGAATAAGAACTGTGCTAGAATACGTGATAAACTAGTGTTTCACACAACACGTCTGACAAGACCTTCAGTCTGTAACTCTTTTATAAATGAACCGTTCTAAGCCAAACTTCTTGAACGATGTGATAAGAAATTCAACTTCCTGGATCACTTTATTTCGGAGAAAAACACATTTTATATCAAAAATGTCCGGTAAGATTTGTTTTGTGTATAGGTTGTTTCAAACATTACAGTTCTCTTAGATGAATTGATTCTTCTCGCTTAGAGCTATTAGACTGAGTATATAGTCTGCGGTACATCATTTGGCATATAGAGAAGAGTCACACCATCAAGATGTTATTACTGGGTATTAAACATAATGATTTGGAAGTCTGTCTTCACGATTACTTGAAACAACCTATTTAATAATTTTTAATGTTCGCTGATTAAAACTTCTTCCATTTCTCTCTTGTACTTACTCGTTCAAAATCTTCAACATTTTTGTTATATTGGCGAACTTCTTGCGCAATTAATTTCATAAACGCTTCTTTTTTCTCTTTTTCATTTTCTACTGTAGATGTCGTTGTCATTGGCCGTTTAGAGTATTGGTTTTGTTGAAGAAATGCTGGTTTATGTACATGTCCATCCGGCGTTGAATGAACAAGAGGTGCTTGCTGTTTATGTATAATCTTAAGTTCAAAAAAGTACAAATTGTCGTGCTCTACTTGAATTCAACTACGATTCATTCCAAAATTGTCATTATATAGAAGACATTTGGAGCCATTAGTAAAAAGGCCAAGTTGGTATAATTAATGGTTCTCTTCAAAGCAGTCGTATCAAACTATTGTTTGAAAATATGGTGGACGTACATTGGCACCTATACTATACATCTACGCAAGTTCGAAACCTCCATCTATCATCTTTTGAGCATGGTCTCTATAATCACGAAGGTCCTTACAACGGTTATCCCTTCAAGTTGACAGAATATATAGAATATATGGCGCGATGAATATCAGATTCGTCATCAGCGCTATTGATAACATATAGAACCGTGTCATTTGTACTAAAAGCTCATAAAAAATTTGCGACTTTCGCTCATTGAAAGATCCGTTAATTACGTCGCTTTCATGCATGACGTTGGACTTGGCCTTTTTTGTTGACAGATTGCTCTAAGTATCGTCTACATAATAACAAAAAGCGAATCTCTTGATCGATTGTGTAAAGTTATTGTCTAAAACACACTCGAGTACACTGTATTTTGAAATGGATAGTGCATACCTTCAACGTTTCTTGACTATCTGTATCGTTTTCTGTTTCATTGTCATTAATAATCATCGTATCGGATGATTCAGATGATAACTCAATCATTGTATTACAACTACTAGTTTTAAATGTATCGTCACCGTTTATTGTAGAGTTTTGCCTGTCAATTGATGTAATCATGTCCTTATTCGCGTTTTTTGATTGTTGTTGCTGTGGTACAATTGTTCGATCATTCAGCGTGAAATCATTCTGACCCGATTGTAAACCTCCTTCATTTTCAAGATTTGCTAATGTTGTCACCGGTGTATTCGTCGTGTTACTACGAACACGTTCTTGTATTTCACGTGCTTCATCAATCATTTGTCTTAAAATACTAATGTCTTTTGATTGTTTAATAAAATCGTGCTAAAAATTAAAGAAAATTGATAATTTAACAGTTAAAAAAAAGATAAAAAAGGAGCATACATTTATTAATTCGGTTGCTGTCGAACGATTATCTGGACATTTGACAAGACATTTTGAAACAAAATCATTTAATGATGTACTCCACCTCGTAATGTCACGGAATGTTGGAGGACTGCGACTCGGTATCATAAATATGGCCTTCAAACAAACAAAATATAAAAATTCGAAAAAGAAAGCAAAATCTCTATATTACCCGCATCGGATGAATATCTGCATATGGTGGTTTGCCTTCCGCCATTTCAATCGCTGTTATTCCTAAACTCCAGATATCTGCAGCACAATCATACCCAATTTCTTGGATCACTTCGGGAGCCATCCTATAAAACATTATTTATGTCAAAAATCCCAATATTTTATTTTCTCTTATATACAAACCAAAATGGTGTGCCGATCATGGTATTTCGTTTAGCCATTGTATCCTAGAATGTACACTCAAGATGATTAAACAACCAAACAAAATATACTGCATCAAGTTACTGACGGTTAGTTGTCCAGCTACGCCAAAATCTGCTAATTTTGCTTGTCCATCATTGTTTAGCAGAATATTGCCGGCTTTGATATCCCGATGAATTTTACTACACAAATGTAAATATTCTAATCCTTTGAGAGTATAGCGTAATATAACAGCTATTTCTTGTTCATTCAACTAAAAAGAATTGGGATACAAATGAGAGATCATTTTAATTCGCACAAAATCCTACCGTTTTTCCACGCAATTTCATTAAATCAGAAACTGATCCAGCACCACAATATTCCATCACAATCTTTAAAAAACATAGAAAACATATTCAATTTACAGACTGATTATCTCTTTCATTTCGCTTTACATATAAATCAGCATCTTTAAAATAACTGCCATAATATTTGACGATATATGGACTGTCACATTGTTTCATAATGGAAATTTCTTTAACAATTTCTTGAAGATCACTTTCAACAGGGACCTGCTTAATCGCCAGCAGATGACCCGTTTCACGATGTCTTGCTTTGTATACACAGCCGTATGATCTACAAAAAAGTGGAAATAAATAAAAGTAGTCAGATGATACGTTTAGAAAAATAATTACCCTTTTCCAATCTTACAAACAATATCGAGAACATAATCCATATCTTGTGCAAGATTTTGATCAGTCAAACGCTCAAATACAGCCATTTTTAATCTAAATAAGTGATGACAGAAATTCTAGTAGGTTAACACCGTAACTGTGCTAGTAGTACACACTGCTACTCTTTATACAAGTCTCAGTCTCAGAATATATTTGGAAATTAGTTGAAAATAAAATGAAACGCTTCATAAACACACATAAAAATACTATGTAAAAAAACATGTATATCTTAAAAATCATAATAATACAACTTTCTGTATCCGTATTAAACAGTAAAAAATAGACAAAATAGAAAAATTTTATCTGATAATAATACCAAATATTTCTCCAATTATTATTCATTTTTCAAATGCCACTAGTATCATGAGCATAGATATCCATGAACAGCTAATGAGAACACAATATCATCACCAATGGATGAAGCCACCATCAAAACCGACTACGAATGCATTTAATTAGACATACAATTTAGCTAGTTGTTATCGATGTAATTTTGTTTATATAACAGTTATTTGACTAGTTCGATCATCAAAATCAAACCACATGGATAAGAGAAATCGTGTTCATAGATATAAATCACTATTGACTGCAATGAATAATTATGCTGTTAATCTTATTTCGAAGTAGTCAAATGAGGTGAATGGAAAGATCTTGAATAGTCTCGACAGTCAAAAACAAAATGCATTTGTCTCTTAACGATGATTATTCAATGAGCAATAGAATCATGCAAACATTTTTTTCTTGTCTCCAGCACGTCTGTCCTTCGAGAACGGCATGCCTTAGTAGCTATGTTATTCGTTACGTACTGCAAACGTACAAACAAGACTTTAATTTGCATATCCTATGTAAAATATTCAATGATCCCCCCGTAGAAACGGTAAAAATGATATAGCAGTTGATGACTTAAATGGCGGTTGTTTCAATGCTGGACATGATTCTCATTTGTTTGGAGTTAAATGTCGATGCTGGATGACAACATATTTTATTTTAATGTTTTTGAAATATGGAGTAATAATAAATTTAAACATCATTGACAATAATAACGAATATTGATCGATGAATGATGAGATAGACAAACATTCATGTTCAATGTTGAAGAAAATGACAAGATCTAAAATAAAAAGTGTTTGTCTTGCTCTTCTTTCAATCCTTCACAAAAACATACTTAGAGTTAAATTGCTCTTTTTTTCTCTCGTACACAAGTTAAATCTTCAGTCACCAAAAAATCTTTGCATATTATTGATTTATATTATTGAGTATTCTGATTTCCTTCAAAAATTAAAATTTTGAATTGAACTATATACAAAAAAACAAACATAATATTTAGAAAATACAAACAGAAAAACGGTAATCGTATTATTTTTAAATGCCAGAAAATTGAAATACAAGTTGATGCGAGTAAAAGTGTCTAAGAATAAAAATAAGCATATCTGAAAACACAACAATTCAAAATCAACGCTTTGGTAGTTATTTACACTGGTTATCGGATGTGGAGAAAACGAAAATGTATACAAAACACTAATAAAATAAATAGATATCGTCACTGTTAACACAAAGTGAGTCGTTCTTTTTTAGTAAGTATAAAAACAATCGAAAAGATCATTATTAATTGAGAAATAACAATTTATCATCTTTTTGAACCACTGGTAGTGGCTGTTGATCTATTGCTTCCATTTGTAGCTGATGACGTTTGCGGTGATAATGTGTCTGGATTCTGTTGTTTTCGTGTAGATGGAATTGTTCGCTGTTTGGCGAGGAATGACTGATTTTCATGAGATTTAAGACGTTCTTCAAACGCACGTCGTTGAAATCTACTACCCTGTATAGTAAAAAAATACGCATGAACCTTGTTAGAAATATAAAATTTATCGTATTGAACGAAACATATGATTCGATAGTCCAAAATGGCTACTCTTAGCATCCATACACTTTTACCAACACATCAAAAATTTCTGAGAGTTTCTGAACATGTTTCTAAAAACCTTAAAAAACTGATATTTTTTCAATAAAATGCTGTAATCAAAAACACTTCTCTTGCCTCTTCTATGTCGATCTTGTTAAATTTTCCTACTCGCAAAGCGTCATGTTTTATTTCAGAACACTTAGAGTATTGCCTACAAAAATAAATCAGACGCTTTGTGTTAGCTTTTTTTGCAGAACGGACGATGGCAATATTATTTACAATTTCGCGATTTAGATTAGATCGTCGTTGGGTAACGATTACACACACAACCGAAAAAGAGTCGTTCCACGAAGATACCGCTTCGCGCCGGTCTCAATCCGTGGGAAAGCTGCCTTCACCAGTTTGGAAAAGAGTCTTGTTCATCGACCAAAGAACATTTTTTCCTCTGCAAGACCCCGCCAGGATCTATCGCGGGTTTCCCTACCTCGTGCATCTGTGATACACGAGCGTCACCATATCTCAAAATCAATTTTTTTCCCCTTAAGGTTGTTGGTATTTTAAAAAATTTACGTCCTGACAGATGATGGAGAGCTCGAATTGGTTTCAAAATGAAGCTAACACATGCGCTTAGAGGTTGACAAAATCCGATTTTTGCTGTGGTTTTCGGTAAAGGAAAGGATTTTGGAGAACTTTTAGCTTCTGACGACTGACGAAAACTAGTATTCTAAATATTTAAAAATCTGGTTCTATGACCTCCAGTCGTACGTGTTAGCTTCATTTTGAGACTAGTTCGATCTTATCAACAGTGATCTTATCAAGAGACGCTCAAGCTGCCCAGCTCTGCTGAAAAATAAATTTCGTTACTATGCTTCATTCTTTGAAACTTTTGTTCGACCTATGACTACCGAGATAGCTTTCTACCAAGGGGAGGGACCTTAATGAAGATTGTTGCACATAAACATGATACTAATAACAGTTCTTTCATCGAAGATTTTAAGTTTTATCGAACCATTTAAAATCTCGTATTAGTAGAGAAAAATTTTAAAAGGAAATTTCATACAAGAGTAATCTTTTTCTAGGCATGTGTTTGAAGAAGCTTTGATTTCCTATATTAAATACGTACCAATGAATACCACGCACTAATCAATAGTTTTTCTTGTTCTTCTTTTGTTTCTTTAAGACGTTCGTATTCTTTCTAGACGAATTGAAATGACTTTCGTTTTTTTTCATCAAAAATAAACTAAGTTACCACGACTTACCCCTAAATCGGCTATGCGACTATTTTTTTCTTCTAATTGTTTACGTATCGATTGCACTTCCGTATTAACCGATGGATTATTACGTGAATCTATTGATCGAATCACCTAATTGTAAAAATTTTACAGTAACTATTTAGTTTTAAACTGTTTGCTATTACTTACTGTTCTAGCTTTTTCTAGATAACGTAAATATTGTTCTTCAACATTACTCAACTCATTTGATTTTGTTTTTAATAAAATATCTTTCTCGTTCAATTTTTGTTCTAAAATCAAAAGAGATAAAAAATAAGACCAATGTAAGTCGTGTGCTTGATAATGAGTCTTATACGTGTAAGATCATGTTGTTTCTGTAATTCATCTAATTGTTTCTTTGTTCGTGTTAGATCATCTTCATAACGTGCTGTAGTACGATTCAATGTTTTTTTCAATTCAATTAGTTCAGCACTATTTTCAGCAATTGAAGATGTATCTTTGAGTGTTGCTTCTAATTCAAGAATTTTTCGGTTTGACATCCTAAAAACCGAAACATATTTTGAAATACCAGCAAAAAGATCAGCGCATTATACAAACCATAAATCATTATTTAATTGATTATTACGATCTTTCAACTCGTCGCAGGTTGCTTGTAACAATTGAACTTGTTCACTATTATTATCTTCAGTTTGTTTAAGTTTAAGAACTTTATTTTCATGTTGTAAACGAATAAATCGTTCACTAAAAAAGAGCAAGACCATATGAATAAATAAAAAAAAGTAGAAATAGATATCACCTACCGAACATCAGGTGAGAGATTTAAAAAATTCAAATCTTCGAGTGAACCCGTGAGTTCATGTTGAGAAGATGTTTGATTACTACCTGAAAAACAGATAAACGTTCTCCTCTGTAATTTACGATATTAATATCTCACCTTCGTCAATATTTACACCACGTAATTTTTCATTTGTTTCACGTAATAACTCAATTTCATTTGTTAAACTCTGAGAAAAAAACAAGTGTTCTATTAAAAAATGTATAATCAATGAGGTTGTTAAGATATTCGAAAATCATGTGGTTACTAGAACTCTTATGCTCTCTCTCATTCAGTATTTCTTTGCGCAAATTTGTTCATGTTAGAGTAAAGAAAAAAACGAAATGTTTGTTTATTGTTGCAGTATGCTACACAAAATAAACAAAGCTCTCAGTGCAGGTCGTACGATCATCCATAAAGAACATCCGATTAGGGCTCCTTCGCTTCTGTCCAATTTCAACTAATCCTTCCCTCTCTTAATTTGAATATCTTTTAAAAATGAGTATGTTCACAGGAATAAAGTAGAAACCGATACCATTAGTCCATCCAGCTCACCCACTAGATAAATCACTAATTATGTATATTAAATACGAACCTCTTTTTCTGAAGTAATAACGCTTAAACGTTCTTCTGTTCTTGATCGTTCAAATTCCGCTTTGTCTGTTATACTTTGTAGTTCAGAAATTTTTTGATACAACTCTTGATTTGTTCTTTTATGGAATTCAACTTGAGTTTGTAATTGTTTTGCTTTCTTATATTCGTGTTCTAAATTTGTTTTTTCATCAAATAAACGTAAATTTGTTTCTTCTAAATATTCGATTTGTTGACGTAAATTAGACATTTCTTCCAATTTTAATTTGTATGCATCAATAGTCGATTCCAATTTTGTCTATGAAAAATATAAAATGAGAATGAAGAAGAGTCTATAGAACTATCATGACAAGATGATAATATACATACCACTTTTTCACATTTATTTCTTAAAACATCAAGTTCGTCTTTGAAATTTCTTGCATCAGATGCAAGTACCATAAGATCGTCATTCTATCAGAAGAAAAAAGTTTGATCATTGTTAGAAAGTTGAATCATTGTACTACTGATGTAGTTATGTTAAAAATACGGACACAACTTTACTCGTATGATATCTAAACATACCCTTTTTAGTAAACCTTCGTTATCATCACGTAGAACATCTAATTTAGCACGATGATCTTGCAGTGCTGAAAATACGAGAAAATATTATTTTAAATTTTAAAACTATCAAAAAAAAATGAAAATAAATACTTGTTTCTAATTTAAAAATTTCCTCTTGTTGAGATTGAATACGTTGTTGAAGTGTTGCATATCGACGTTTTGGTATAGATCTAAATTACCACAGTTATGTATAAAATAAATTTTGACTGAATATGATAAGATAACATACTCAGAATCTTCTAAACTTTCAAATTGTTGTATACGATCATTTAAACGTGATGTCTCTTGTGTTAAACCAAGTTTTTCATCTTGTAATGTTGATACCTAATTTGAAGACATATATTTTTCGAATTTGGTTATTTTATCAAATTTTTTTTTTTACTTGAAGATCCAGTTCTCTACAACGATTTTCTATTTCTTCTTTTGCTTCAACAACACGATTTAATTCTTCTAAGGCATGTTTCAACTAAAAAAAGAATTAAAATCAATTATTTCACTTATTCATATGTAATTTGACTTGTCTAATTAACCTGATCTCCAAGTTCTGAATATTCTTCATTTACTTTTCGATTTTCTTTAACCATCAACTAGGAAAAAAATGAATATATATATATGATAAATGAATAATATCCAATGAATATCTCACTTCTTGAATGGCATTCATCAATACATGTTGAACAGATTCTTCCATTAGCATTATATTTTCAATATAATATTGTTTACGATCACAGCTAACAGCAACACCTAATACCAATTGTAATAAGCGACTAAGCTCTGTTTCATCTGTTTTATCGGCTAAATAAAAGTTAAATATAATAACAAAACGTTTATAAATGAATTATTAGAATTTTACCAATCATATTTAAATCAGGCATTTGAAAGTCAATGAGTGATTGAGTTAAAACCTGAAAAATAAATCAAAATTATATATATTTATCAGATAATAATAAGAAATATGATAAAAAAACAAACCTCTGAATAATAATCCGTAGTACTTTTCAAGACTTTTTTCAAATTATTTGTCTAAATTAAAAAATAGTAATATATTTTTCAAATTATTTAAGTATGTAGCACCATTTTCTACTTTTATTCTGTGATTGTCTGATGTATCGCTCTTCAATTTGGCCACCCAAGCTTCTGTAAAGTAATTTCCATCGCTAAAACAAGAATAACTCGTTTATTAGTTCAAATTTCTTATTGATTTGCACTTACATATTTTTTAAACATTTTGCTATAAGAATACCATCACCTACAACAGTTATTGAAGATATAATAATCGTATATATCACGTGTCAGACAACTTACTTAAATCACCAGCACCATTTATTGGGCTATTCAAATCAAATGTTTTCATCTAAAATAAAACAATATATATATTTTTTTAATCAAATAATAAGAAGTAAGAAAAAGGTAGAGTTTTTAACATACCCATTTGATAAGACTATCACAGAGAACACGTCTATCCATGAAATATTTTGATCTAGAAGAAAGACATTTTATTATGGATTCTCTATCTTGTTAGAATATGAAAATAACTTTTTTTGTAGAATTCGAAAACAGTCGACATAAGTTTTAAAGTACCATATGCAATTTTTTAATTGATATTAGAAAGTTACAGTGGTTTTGGAATATCTCTGTGAAGAAACTGAGAATTTGTATTTTCGAAAAAATAATCAACTAAGAATTCAGGTTCGGTATTGTATACAAGAATATATTATTTTGAAATAAAATTACACAGAGCAAAAACGAAGTTTTTTGAGGTCTGCAGCTTTTCTTTTCCGTTCTTGATGTATGGAATATAAATTTCACCTGGGATTATCCTTTGTCAAGCTGAAAACGTACATTGGCTACAATTTTTTTTTCAACACAATTAACGTAGTCACAAACAGAGACAAATATCAGATACGTAAAAGAAAAATAGTTACGTCACCACATAAAAATCTCGTTTAGAACCAAAAAATTTGAAAGTATAACGTAGACATAGAAAAAAGATAGTTAGCTTAATAACTGTCGAAGTGGATCATTGATGGTTGTATTAGACATACCATCCATTGTGGATGAAGACGTCAACATTGAGGTTATATCATTATAACGTTGTTGTCGTTGAAAATCGCCAGACGTCGTTGCTTGTTGTTGTGGCGATAAAGATGATTGTAAATCTGATCCAAGAACACCTCCAAGAGATCCACCTGTTCCTGCTCCACGACTAAGTTCTTCAAGTAGTCCATTTAAACTTTCCGTATTTTCTACACTAAAATCACCAATGGAATCGTTTAAATGTTGTTGAAAATCTTTTAATAATGATTCTTTTCGTTCAATGTTATATTTTAAGTCTGTTATTGTTTCTAAGACTAAAACAAGAATAAAATAATTAAAATCATTTTTTTTCTCATATTCTTATATTCTACCTTGTTCATCCGGCCATTTTTTATGTACAAGACATTTTAATTGTAATAAATTACACTCAATTTCATTTGCTGATTCATGAATACGACGTGTATAATTCTCAATAGCTAATACATTTTGCTCAGAAGATGAACTGGATGCCGATGATGGATTGGAAATATGATGCACATTGTAACAACTTGATATTGGTAACACACTTGAACTAGAACCACTAATTGGATCTTGAATTAAATAAGATATAAAAGATTTGATCGAATTTTCAAAATTATTTATTAAATCGTCCGATAAATTTATGGGAGTGTTGTTTGTTAATGACATCTTAAATAGGAATGCACATGGTTCTACATGATAAAGGGATGAAAAGAAAAATGAGAGCAATCCATAACGGATTGTTATCGGACTAATTACGACAATGAGAAAACAGAGTTATCGGAAAACAATCGTTCACCTTGATAAGAGCTAAAGATGGAATCATATCATTTTTTCTTCTTCGCACGAAAATCTCCAGTTATTTGATGGCTTTGCTACAAATCGAGGTTGGATGTGATTGGAAAGAGATATGGTAAATGTCAGATTTACCATAGTAAACGGAATAAGGCACTTGCACATATCTCTTCTGAAGGTTATTTATCATCAGCAGATTTCTCTCGGAATCGCTGTTTTAGTTAGTAGTGTGATTCAATGATTCGATTTCATGCTCCACAATGTACATCGATCACAGTGCATCGGAAGCTTTACATCATTCTGTATTAGACTTTGGTGCATCAGATTGACTTTCGATGACTTTGACATCTTATCCTTTCAAGAGACGAATTTAGAACCAAAATTTTGTGATGGAAAGATGACCCTCTCCAGATATTTTCCCGATCAAACTCTTTATCGAACATATCTTGCTACACACATCTCCTCTTTTCACTTCTCTGTGCTGACCATTTCAAATTCTAGCGAAGCCTTTTTAATTCGTATATATTTCTCTTTCATAGGTTTGACCTTGTGTAATTATTGCCGTTCTCGATCTCTTCCTACAAACTTTTTTCCTGATGTTCTTGAAAGTTTTCTTTGTAAGTATTCTTCTTTCTATCATCATTTCATGGCACTTCTACAGATTGAGCACACCCTCTACTGTAGGTGTGTGTGAGAATGAGGATGTGCTGAATCTGTAGAAGTGCTGATTATGACTGCAAGCGTGCAGCATTCCTTTTTAGTGTTTTCTTTAAATGTAATCGCGAGTGTTCTGGTGATCGTGAACTTTATTTTATATGAACGATGTTGATCTTGTGTGGAATGAATAGTACTGCAAAACGTTTAATAGCAATTTCAGGTAGTAGTATACCAAGTTGAACAGCTGTCTTTATTACCAGTTACATTTAGTGAAAAATCAACGCTCATTTGCTCCCAAATGGATTATGATAACAAAGGAAAAAGTATGTAGTTGCGGGAATGGTTTGGACCAAGAATCTTCGGTTCCACTGCAGGAAAAACTAGTCTCCTAGTCAGGAAATCGGCAATCTGTTCATGAAAGGATCCACGCCTTGATCAGAGAATAAATGGCTATCCTTTTTACGTTGCTATAATCTGATTACTGGCCTGAGCAGACTGTCTGATCATTAGTTAGACTTTCTATTGATCAGATCTTGAAATTGATCTTACTACAGTACAAGAACAGGATTTTATATTTACTTCAGACAATATGAACACCGTTCGTATAAAAAAAGCTCACGTTCACCAGTGCTTTAGCGTTGACGTTCAAGGAACGAAACGTGAGCTTTTACAGACCTAATACCAATAAAAACTGGGGCATAATAGTTTTAGAGCTAAAAAGTTATCATCATGTGCCCGCATGATCCAAATCACAATAGAAATAGTAATTAATTAATGAATCTTGAGGATTAAGTTGAGTTATTTCCTTTTCCAAATAGTAGCTGCAAGTAGAGACCATCTACGTCAATTCGGATTGATTCTGACTCTTTAAAGAAACAACGGTTTTAGTTCTATTCGTTGTTTTTTCTCATTTGCAGAGCTGCTTCTCCATTGGCTGTGAGTCGACATTATGGTTCGAATTGTTTCTTCTTACAGAATTAGAGCGTTACTAAGATGAACGTAAATGTGTAACTCATCAAGCATCAATATAGTGGAAACACATCGCAAGGTCAATATGGCTGCAAAAGTTTGTTCCGTTCCATCCGTGACTGTTACATAGAGGATAATTTCCTTGTTTCATGCCAGTGTTTGTTGTTATTGTTTTCTCTTGTTGTTTAATAGTTTATTTCGAAATCTCTTATCGATTTTGTTAGTATGTTTAGTAAAAATAACTATTATCTGCCGATTGCTCTACTAGCGCAACGTGCAAATCAGTCTGCTATACCTTCCACACTTGTTAATTTGTAATCAACGTTTTTTCTTCATATTTGAGGAAAAAAATTCGCTTGATAAGCTCATTTGATTTCCCAGTTCTAGTCAGATCGCCTGCTTTTAGAGAGGAAGAGAATTTTTTTGTTGTATCGACTGAGAGCACTTTGCTATTTTTTCTTACGTTGCCATCATTATAAATACTTTCGTATTCTACCTTCTGTAAACGATTTTTCTCCAAAACAGTTTGGTCTTCCTTCTTTCATTCAACTGCCACTGAGTGGAATAAAATCTTCCAGAATCAGTCATTCGTTTTCTTTATTGTCATTTAAAATAGCTTTATCTCAGCATTTTTACAGTAGAACATAGCCATATTTACAGTTAAAACAAATCCATTGCTGTTACTCTTATTTTTATTCTTTCTTTTCTACCTTTCTGTTTCGTACACTGGTTTACTCTTTTTTTTTAATTCTCTATTTATGGTTTCTTTTTGTTGTTGTTTGGCACCAGTCATTGTTATTATAGGTCGGGGAGCTGATGGCTCTCATCATTCATTCATTGACACAACTTACATTACTTCACCAGTTTATTTTCTTTCTTGAGTAGTGATCCGAAGTTTTCTTCCAGTTTAGTCACATAGTACAGGAAAGAAAAGACTCAAATATTTATAATAAAAGCTCAGCCTCTTCTTTCATTATAGATTTTATAAATTACCGACTGTTTGAAATTTAGTACGTGAAATTCAATCGAAATGTGAGTAAATGTAGTTTACTTATTTTTTACATCTCTTTACATTATTTGCTTCGATTATGTTCTTTAGGTCGTACGAAACTGCAAATAATAATCCATCAGCTGCAAAATATGCTACTCCAAAACGTTTTGATGCATTACAAGCGGATGTTAATCAGGTATTCTTATAATCCCGTTTATCATGCTTTATGCTAGGTCAATTTTCGGCTAAGACCCGTTCTTTTTCACACCTAAACTTGTAGGTAGTTGGTATAATGAAAGACAATCTGGATAAAGTATTAGAGAGGGATAAAACTTTAACAACACTAGATGATCGCTCAGGTAATGGGAAAAACAAAATGAGACCCTTCAGTCGCTTATTTGTTTTATTGTGTTATGTAAACCCAACATGTAGATATATATATACATATATGTATTAATCTATTTTATTATATTAGACTGTACAAGTCATTTTATTTGTTTGTTGTTGTATAGTGGTCACTGTTTAATTGTTTCCCCTTTTTTTTCAACAGGTTGTCGATGTTATGAAAGACAATCTTGACAAAGTATTGGAACGTGATGCCAAACTTTCAACACTTGAAGGAAGGGCCGGTATGATTTGCGCATGTTTGCTGATATATCGCTACTATTTTGAGAAAAGATGAACTGGTTCTCAGATATTTTTCGAATATAACCAACCATAGACATAGTCACTCTTTGAATGAATTAAAATTAACAAATAATCAGGCAATCTTTATACAAGGTGTTTGTTTAGTTAAACCAACAATATTTGTTCTTTTGAGATAGACATAAAACTACTGATAATAATAATAATATATATCAGTTATCCGTTTCACATTTTAGTCATATACAACTAGCTTTTGTATAATGTTCATGTTTATAATCTTCGTATATATTCTATTATTTTAAATATTAGTGTTAAGATTCAAAATGTATGTCGTGTAGTTACTTTGTATAATTTTTAAAATTCTTATAATATTAATCAATCAATTATAATTATCATATGATTTTCTTGCGTTCATTCTTCTTTAGATGCTTTACAAACTGGAGCGTCACAATTTACGGCGAATGCAGGAAGATTGAAACGAAAATATTGGTGGAAAAATCTTAAAGTAAAATATTGTTTAGTTATTTTTTAGTTGTTTTTTTTTACATTGAAATCTATTTGTATATGATCACGGTTTCTCGTTGATCAAATGGTTAATTCAAAAACTTATTAGAGAATCTTATTAAAATATTTAAATTATTTTTTTTCAGATGAAATTGAGGGTGCTAATTTGAAACTTTATCAAAAAGATTAGAAAGAAAGATACGGTGAAAAATGAAAAGGTAGAAAGGCTGCTGCTATCTAGTGTTATAAAACGATTAAAAAAACTCGAGTTGCTTTTTTTGCATTCAAAATCGAGATGGACAGAGGAAAATTTGTTGACTTTTCCACTCATAATCACTCATGCTACTTAATCGGTTTGATAATAAGATAAAAAAATTTAGAAACAAAAAATATTTTATAGCTTCGATACGGCAAAATAATTTTAGGAAGAGGTTCATGTTTGATTGCTTTAACAACAGACATAAGTAAAGTTTGTTTTTTGACAAGTACATAATTGTTATGTACATGGAACTATGACATGTATCCAATCATCGGTAGTGTATCTAATGAATGATTACAAAGAATAAGTTAAGTAATCAGTTTGCAGCTATTGAAGTATTTTGTGTTAATATCTACTTAAGACTATTTATGAATTGGAATTTAGATGTGGATCATTTTGATCATTGTCATTATTGTCTTGATTGTCATCATTGTTGGTAAGTGAGTGATAATTATTTGAATTTGACGTGACTGACAGTGTCTTCTCTTATTCTTTAGTTGCGGTTACACAATCAACAAAAAGTAAAAATAATGATCCAAAAAACAGTGGAAGAAAAAGAAGATTTATTTTTAATTCTGCTGTAAGATTCTTTGATATATTTGAGATCTACACACACACACATATATATATATATATACATCTTTCTTTTTCAGATTGATCAATGAAATATATTTTATATTTGAGGTTGTGTCGGTAACGTCTTTATACGACATACTCTTGCTTCATTATGGTTTTATCTAACTTTAATTACACACATGATCATTCCGCTTTAGGTTGCGTTTGTCTTCTTACGATATTAACGTCTATTTTTTATTGTATGCTTTAACTTCTATTTACTACAACCGAAGC